TGGTCCCGAGGAACTTCACCACGCCGCTGATGCAGACCGAATCACTTTTTCTCTGGGTTGCCAAGAAAATTAATGGACCATCTTAATGTTCCAGGCAACCCCGAAATCCTCAAGTCTGTTTTTATATTATAAACTTTTTGCTCATTTTTTCAATCCGCTGACTTACAAGTAATCGAGGAAACAGTAATTGTCTGTTAAAACCTTGCTTCCGAGATTTAGATGTACGCGTATAATTTATATTTTAATAAGGAAATCGTAAAATATGTATCAGCAAAGAACGTTCGTCCGCGGTTTAAAACATAAACGAAAATTGTCTGGAGCAACGTGTAATTAGTGCTGGAAATGTTCCGTGAACGAGAACGAACCAACTGTGAACTGAACAACAAAGTATTTTTTAGCAATATATCTCCAAAGAGAATTTATTACGACATTTCCACAAAATAGCCGAATTATTTAGTTGGAGGCCTTGACATGGTCGTGGGACCCCGTAAAACATGTGTCTGGCCGTCGTAACACTGTTATGAGAGACGCAGCAATAAACTATACTAGATCAAATTAAACAACGGAATGGGGTAACTACTTTTTCTTTTAGAATTACAGTCTTGTTGTTTTAATCCTAACATAACTGCGGATTTGTTTTGTTTACGAGCTTTTAATCTGTCAAATACCAAGCGGTCACCGGTGACCGCGACCTATTGTTCTTTAATTGTGTCTATAAAACCGGTACTCGACGAGTTAAAGCAAATTGAACACAGATATTTTGAAGGATAAAACGAAAGGCAAATATGTTTCTTAAGTAAATTCGATATGTTATAGAAAACAGGGCAGATTTATATCCGCAGTGACAGGCCAACGAACGTCTGACTAATACTCTATCCGAGTCCATGACCCGCCTTAGCTAATCTTACGGCATCATCTATTTTCCTCAAGCGACTATTACATGGAAAGATTACCTGATTCACGTTTTTTTTCTAAACACATCCGAATCGGAACTGTTAACCATAAACAAGAGGTAATTTTAACGAGAATTGAGGCTTAACACCTTTCAAACAGTTCATACTCAACGTTCGAAAAAAAAAATACGGAGAAGAAAAAAAGATTGTACAATTTAAAAACCACAAAGCGTTCGAATTGAATCCTGTTAAATTAAAATGTTATTAAACATTCGAAAAGTGGAAAGCGAAGCGTGGTATTGTAATTGTTCGGTTTATAAGCGGTTTTCCTCTTCGGTTCATTGGAATAGGGCGGGAAATGTAAAATGATTTGGGTGCCAGGTTTCTTTGCAATACTTTTATGTTCTCAGAAAATTAACTCGGAGATACTCAGGTGACATTTGTTATAGAGATATGAACATGACTTTAGTAGCGTTGCCAGTGCCAGTAGGGAATTCCATGGGACATACAATCTCTAAACTTGTATTTAGTTCATTTATTTTTAGTATCGTTTGTCAGAATAACTATATTTTTGGAACAAACGTCCATTACATGTGTTGCTTGTCAATGTTTGCGGCTATTTTCACGCATACTTGAGATGCTAAGAGAAACAGATGCTGGTTATAATTATCATAACGAAAGTGTTCTTTATAAATTAGGTAAATGTACTTTCATATTTTTTTAATTAAAAGTATACTTAGTCTGCAAGGTTTCACGGTATTATCTTTAAAATTAGAAGTCTGATTTCTACATACATAAGCTTCTGTCTATATCATAACAACTGTCTCCTATGAGGTCGTTTGTAGTAAAATGACAAATGACCTTGACATATTTAATTCTTTGGCTTCACTTACCATCTCATAAATGAACTCAAGTTTGTTTTCTATGGTACGCAGACATTCTAGAACTCAATAGTTCTAAATTTTTCACCTATATCTGATTCAACAGAGTACTACGAAATAATTTTGTTCATAAACATGTGATTTAGAAACCTCAATCCTCAAAAAGTTAAACCTAAATCGGCAACTATTGATTAATCATTGATTCGAAATATTTTTTTCACTCGGAATTTCTTCGTGGGTGCATTTACAAATACTCATCTCAGACAAACAGACAGGACTTAGAAAAACTATCAGTTAGTTGAGTGCAAATATTTGTTTCTTCTGAGAAATAAACATCATCAAAACAGCTGCTACTTACCTACTATGCTAAATACTTTAGTATGCCTACGCCTAGTCAGGCTTAGAACTTATTTTGAACACTAGATTAATTACTTCATAAGTACTTCGAAATTCCGTGATGGTCTAGGATTATTATCACTAGGATTAACTAAACAACACGATATCTAGAACAGTTAGTAAGACTACGGTCAAGCTGATCAGAAGACAACTCATTTCATTAGTGCCTTCCATGACCTTCTACAATCAAGCAAATTCTACTGTTCAGAAATTTACCCAACTTTAATCTTACCCGATATGCGTTACCCTCTATGGAGACTTCTTGCAACTTCACCATCTTGGTTCGATCGCCAAGAATGCCAGTAAATACCCAAAGTAACCCAAACTTTTCACTTGAAGCGGAATGAAATCAAAAACGTTGTCAGCGGTTACTATTAACCACACTAATTGGTGCTGGAGTGAAGAGAGCGTGACAGCTAGTCGAAAGTCTCACTCTAACTGAGGGGTTCCGACTACTGATTACACGTTGACTGATATCGACAGAATTATAGTGTTTTGTTAAGCTTTAGAAAATTATACTTTCCAGTGGAATTATTAGGGAAATTTCTTTTAGGTTTCAGAAGAGAAGGTACAATAAATCTGTGCTAGGTACCTGTCCCCATTAAATTCTAAGGTATTGAAAATAATGATGTCACTTTTTCAATGTCAAAGCAAAACATAATAGCCCTCAAAGCAATTTATTATTATAAAAAGCGGAAATAAGCATCGGAACAATAGATATCGATTACTTATTGCATATAATCGTATCGATAAAAAAACAACAATGACTTCAAACCGCTATTACGTTTTTGCACGTAACTAAAGTTCAAGGGAAATCTTCATTTAAATGAAATATTAGATTCAAAACAACGGAAGCGATTGTGGATTTAGGCCAACAGTTGTTGCAAACATTTGTCCAAACGTTTGTACAGACGTAATATATTGCGTTTGCGCAAAGTGGGACGTTACGGACAATGAAGTGTCCGAGATCCAGAATCGAGTATTTTCACTGAATTACATCTATAGATGGATAGTAAATGGAACAGAAACAATATTCCGGGAACGTTAATATTAATGAAGTGGTTGTCAACAATTGGGTCAAGCAGTTATGACCTGGACTCACACCAACGCCACCATACTTTCATAGAAAAGTTCTATTACAAAACATGGAGATATGAAAGTAATTGACAAGTTGGACAAGTCATTATACGCCTATTTTAAGCGACACAAGTTTTAGAGTAAATAAACAATACTACATCACTTTCCAATGTAATTTAACACCAATATTTGACAACTACACCCGTCAAGAGTGTTAATTTGTTAAAAAAACACAATGTGAAACTGGCTACTGAGATGTGATTTGTTAACAGTAACGAGACTTCGCATAGAGACAATAGGTAAACAAACTGTGAAGAAGCTCATTTATATCGTACGAGAAACTATAAACCAGACAGTTTAACAAATAGTTACTATTTAACATGTAATTGGAGCAGACTTTTTAGCCTGCTTCCTTTACATACAAACATATTTTTTTTTATTTATGATACGTCTGAAGTCTGAAGCCATCATAGATCATGTAACAACAGTATCTCTCTCTCTCTCCTATTTCTTACTTAAAAGACTTAAGAATATACAGCCTGTTAGCGTTGTATTGTCATTTTATAACAGTGAAATAGTTAGTTAGTTACCTAGATAGAGCATACTATAAAAAGAGAGGTAAAAATGTACTTCAATTAATATCCAAACTGATATAAAACAATATGACCAAATACTAGGATTTTTTTACACATTTTTACAATATCAAAAACACAAAGAAAACATTCCATTCGCACGGTAAGACAGGACAGACAACAGGAACTGATTACTTTTTCTTCTGAAAAAGAATTGTCAATATATTTGGCGAGTTGCCGTCTGACTGTTTGCGCCTACAAACTGGACTGAAGTGGGTCAATACATTATTTATAACAGACACGTCAGTGTTGCAGCAACTGTTGCGACAACGTTCGCAATGAGAAACTTTGTTGCTGTAACGTGTTACATGTTAAGTTGCGCTACAAAGTTTTTGGGTGAACGAATACACACACCTTCGTTTGACGTTTATTTAATTGAGATTGCTTTGTTGTTTTCCGAGTTCGTTTTGCATTGTTGTGAACATTGTGTCCCAGTCCCAGATAATATATTAAACAATACTTAAAGGGCTTTGTTAGACAGTAAATTCAAGCGCAGGGATTATAGTGCTATTAGAATAAAAGCACTAGTGAAAGCTAATCCAAAACAAACATGTCGGACTAACAGTCACTGACTACTTCTAAAAAACTAACAAAAACCCAAAGAAATGTCTGATAACTTTAAGGTTATGCAATGAAACGTGATCACAAAAGAAACACGACGCAAAAACAATTTAAACAAAATTGCATGACTAAAGATGATTCCTTTCACAAAGTATGCAATAAATATCCTTTTATAGTAAGAACATAATATGCAACTTTATCTTAAGCTGAAATAAAAACCCTCTCAACTTTACTCTGGCATCCAACCTGTTGTCGGGGCTTAAGCTATATTTTTAAAAAGAAAATGTTAAAGGAAAAGCTTTTGCATTTCAATATAGCAAAGAAATGTTAGTGTACAAGGTCGAAACGATTGTTTTCATTTTAAAATCTTTGAAAATCGACTTAGACCACTTAAAAACAGAAGACTGAATGAAAACATCACTTGTAGAAGGATAAATGATGATTCAAACACAAAAATCGTTTGGATACAACTGTAAACAAAGTCAATACACTCATGAAGAGATGAAAAACCTAGCTATTACGCAACTAACACCACATTGGATATGTTCCAACGGAACAAAGCCGGGTTTATTACACGTAAATCATTCTTTGTGAGGAACTAATTGCTGAGGATGCATCCCCACACCGTTTTTAGATCATACATGATCATAAAACGTCTGTTTACGAAATGAATATTATGGAATACCACGAAGGCTCTGCAGCTCTGCTATTACGTAATTTAGAGTTAGTCTGAAGTTTTAAAGTGAGATTAAAAACATGAATTCAGGCCGAGGTTGCTGTGTCCGATTTGCCATGCGAATGTATTGGCTGGATCGATTTAATTGACGCATGACGTATCTACGCAGATCTTGATTCTCGATTGTCTGTCAGTGAAAGTCTTAGTAATTTTAAAATCATAACAAAAAATAATTTTGATTTAATTATTGTTGATTTAAACCGACGGATTTTCCTTTAAGAATGTAATAACTAAATTGTGTTAGAAAGTTGGAACAATCATAGATAATTTGTTTTCGATTTTTATTCAGAACTGACTGTTTGGAATATCTCGTTTACAAAGCTTTTATTAGTGAAACTTAGCAATAAATACCAAGTAATTTTAAAGATCCCCTAGACACTTATATTTCGTGGAAAACACATTTCCTCTTGGAGGAAATATAGAGAATGAGTCCACTTTTCACGACATATTTCATTATTCTCATGAGAAAATACGTAAACACACCTAGATTAAGGAGACAGTCATTAATGTTCATTATATAAAACTAAATTTAATTGAAATATTTATGTTCATTACTCGGAGGCGAGAAAAGTTTTTTATTACAGACTATAAGTTTCGCTGGGAACGAATTATATATACACGTTTAATATAAATTTATTAATCGAGTTCTTGAACTGTACTTAATAGCAAAACAAGTGAGAAATCACCAATAACAAGGGGGTAACTGCAATAATAAATAGATTTAAGTTTAATATCAGGGTCTTCAGAGGTCTTACCTAAGTACGATGAATTTACTACACCTTTTAGAACTCCCATTACAGGGAGTAAATAGCCTACAAATAATACTTCAATTTCAATACCCTTCCAATACCTTATTCACAACAATAATGAAATATGCAAAACGTCAGAGACCTGTGCATTGGAGTGCAACACTTAACTATTTACGGCCAAACGGTTTACAGTTCTGTTCATGCTAAGGTTTGAGATGTAAATCGCGATCTTTGACGTCAATGCGCAAGAGTGCGCCAACTAAAACCGAACCACATAATGGCCGGTGGCCGGCCAATATACTCGTAAAGGAGGTTGTAAAACTGCACAAGTAAAAAGGTCGCATATTTTACCCCCGTTACAGGTTTTATGATCAAACTTTGACCTTAGGCCTCATTTTTTTCATAGCCTTAAAGTATTGTATGAAATAAATTATTATATAAGGCAATATCTGTATATAATATAATAATACCTATAGACATAGCTAAGGGATTCTATTCATTTATCAGTTCTTTTTTGAGTTGGCTTTTGTAAAGCACAAAGTTGTGAAGTTTGTGAAGCCAAATATAATATGCCTTGTTAAAAAACTAATTGACTAAGAAAAGTTACAATTACGTTACGCATAATCAAAAATAATAATAATAATTACTTATCTAAGAAAAAAATCTGACTATTTCACAATTTTTCTTAAAAGAGGAAAATAAAAACTCTGACGCTCTTTGATGACATTTTCCCGCTGAAATTCAATGAATACGCCCCCGATAATTTTACTCTTACCACGATAATATAAATGCATATACACTTTTGTAACATTTTTATTTACCTGCTAACTAGGTTACAAACTCCATAACTTGTAAAAACTATTTTGTGAACTTTTATTGACACTTTTATTAAGTAACCGATATGGTATCAAAAGTTATTCTCAAGAAAAAACTGGAATTAAAAAAAAATATAATAGTTTCTCCGGGTACCTGTCCTTTGATGTTTATCGTATTGCTATAATTTTAAGTCATTTAAGCATTTTGGTGTCCATTTCTTAGAAAATTCGCGCACAACACTCATTCGTGTTTCTCAAACGCACAAGTAAATTGATAGTTGCTTTCCAAGATCTGAAACATCTCGGAAGATGAAAAATATATCCTGCTTTGTTTATTTTCGAATGTACAAAAGGCTTTTATAAGCTTTATACCATGAAGCACTATGGCAAAGCGGTTCATTTGTGGATACGAAGCAAAACCTAAAATGAACGCAATTCACTTTATTTTAGCGCCAAAAAGTTCAAAGGATTCGAATTTAGAACATAAATTGTATTCCGTTTTAAAGTGAGGTTTCACTAAACAAAATAAAGCATGACGTTAGCGGTATGTAACCGGCCAGTATACGGGTGGCGCTTGGTCCAAAAGTTACGAAATTGAAATGTGTAAAACTTCAAATTAATTTTTAACTAGATTTATTTGTTTACGTTCTGCTAACGGTTCTTAAATTAGTTTCGAATTCATATTTATAATACTTAATTGGTTGTAGCGTATTGAATTTCAATCGAAGAAACTTGGAAACTGTAATATTCTTAGGCATTACCTGCGCGCAGGTTTATAGTTATAGCTCATTACGCAAGTTCGTAAAGTGCAAACTATTGAGCTATTAGGAGATTTAATGTAGCTTTTGAAATGACGACGGTGAACTTTGTTCTAAAAATGTACAATAGCATTCGGAGAAAAATAGACTAAATAAAAAAATGAGGATACAAGGATGCATCCTTCCCTAGCAGCAGACAGTTTTAGGCGGGCTTCCCCGAACTACATTACTTGCACCTTAAAATACGAAGGCGTGACTACATGTTAAGTGGAAGAGGCTAACGAAGCGTCTTCCTGAAACCCGCCCTCTTTCCCACTCCCGTACTATAAATATGACGCTGAAACATTTTCGCTTCAGTCGTTCAGGAAAGCTCGAGGTGTGCACTGTGCCAAATCACAGCATTCCCTAGTGACAACGTGATACGGGACGCGTAACACGACAACAAATATCTAATACTAATCAGTTCGCGATTGTTATACAAAGACTTTTGATTTATTCAAGTGACTTTTTGGATTGTTCAGTGAAAGTATTTGAAGTGGTGAAGATGTTGGACAAAACCATCCTCGGTGGTAGTTGGGAAAGTGTGGTAAGTAGTGTTCAACGATTAAGTTGAACTTTAATTACGTTAACATAAACAGTAAAATTTTGAATAGTTCACACGTTATCTGTAATGGAAGAAACAAGTCTCAGGATTACGGGACAGAGCTTAAGCAGCGGTGGTCAGTGGGGACTATTACGCAAAGTGCATGGCCACTTTAATGCGCTTAAAAGGCAACTGACTTGTCTATGGTCGCTGTCATTGAACTGTGGCGCGTGCGTGTCCGCTGTTTGAATATGGAATTACGTTCTTTTTGTGGTAAAGCTCTTGACATTGCCGCCTTCGGCCAATCTCACGGCTACTCATATTTAAAGCCGACATTATATTAATCAATGCCCAAAATCGATCTAATCAAAGCGTTTGAGATTAATTGTAAAGATTACTTCCATCAAAAGATTTTGTACGGTTCAGAAAAGGTTATCTGAGCTTTAAAAGTGACTATGATAAACTTTTACAACTTATTAATTTTTTATAGCTTTTTTATGACTAAAGTATTTTAAAGATTTAATTATGGTTTCAATATAAACCAGGTAAATTGCCGGCTGCAGTAATTACAATGCAACCGAGTCCCTGTGTCGCTAATGGGCAGTTCCCGCAGTCCACAAAACGGGAAACGAAGCGGCCGACAAAAAAACAATTACTCTTTGTCTATGCAAAACTCTCATGCGCCGCCGCTGCTTTAGAAATGGAACTGTCATTTTAAAGCCATAAAACAAATTGTTGTTTCGATACATGAGATAGGGAGTGAATTATTAAATTGGGAAGCGTAAAGCTGTCATTGTGAGCAATAATACCGGAGATTAGAAAGTGATAGCTTGTCAAACAAACAATGACCTGTCAAAATTGCTGTCAAAAGTTTTTCGTTCGGATTGTCGATAGTTGTCGATATTCATAATTCGTCGACCGGTCTTAGCGAATTTCGTCAAGTTACTTTCACCATATCCGAACTGGATGGTCTGCTTAGACATTTTCGTGTTGTTGTAACAATCTAATAGCTGTCATTCGTCGCCCGCCATTCCGGTTTACGGTTTCGAAAGTCGAGAGCTGCACCGATCCCCGATAATGACAAATGACAATTTTAAAACGAGACGCATTGAAAAATGCGCTGGATATATCAACGCCATTAACCACTAGTAATGCGAAGTCGGTCATGTAAAAATATGGCGATTTGTCAGCTTATACTTGTGAAATTATTTGTTTATATTTCATAAAATATTAAATAATTAAGTATGAAGTATTCGTCTGTGTCATTACAATCCCGCCTGCTATTTGCTACTTGAACATGTTGTAATTAATCAATATTTACGTTCCCTATTGAAATACTTGATCCTCTTACGTTTTTATTTAATTTATGACAAACAACTATGACTCGTTAAGATTATCTAGGCTTTGAACTCTTGATAACTGTAACTTTGAGTCAACAAACTGGGGTCATTAATACTAAAGAAATTTGATGGTGCAATACATATTAAAAAAAGTTATTACTCATCGGAAAAATCATAGTGACGAAAAAATGCGCGTGGGCAAGGTACAGTTAGTCAGTGTGGAATCATGGCGACGTCACTCTCTAATAATATGTGTCGCATCAATTAAATATTTTATCGGTTCTTAACCCTTTGGAAAACTATAACTAGGTTATACTTCAAACCGACTTATTATGTTAAACACCCACTTCATTTGAATACTGGTCGATTATAAAAGCCATATGGGATTCTAAAATTAAAATCTGCGTAGCGCACTTAAGAGTTCAGATGTAATTGTGTGCTAAAGATCACGTATCTAACTGGCTGCTAATAATAGCGGTCTATACTTGAACTGCCCCCAAAATAGACACCGTTTGCCTACTGTCGAATATGAATAGAAGAAATACCAGATTTCGCAGAGTCGATCGCGTAAATTACACATGTTGTATGTTTACGTATCGCAAACTTATGTTAAATATATCTTGCAAATACGAACACTATGTAAACATTGAAAAAATAAATTCGAGATTTATACCGTGTAAACGGGCCGCAGACAGGCTCAATTCACTTTCTTAGTCTATGGCAGTTCTTTTATCAATGAGGGCAACACTAAAAATAGAGTGCAGACTCAATAAATCGATTTAAAAGTTTTCGGTATCGATAACGGTGAGGCTAAGTAGTGTGTCGAAGAAAATTATAAAGTAAAGCTGAAGATTAAGTGGAGCCAAAACATTACATCGCATAAATTCAAGAGGAGGATATAAAAGTACGTAGCTGTAAATTAAAAAAATACGATGTGTGCCGATTTTTTTGCTCAATGTTTGCACATACGAGTAACGGTACCAACAAAAAATGAGTAAGAAAGAAAATTAACCTGTATTATCTTGGTAACAGAGTCTGGTTTCCATCAAACGTAATGACGAAGGAATTAATCACAGTATCGTACTGATTTCTAATCTTGTTTTTCAATCAGAATACATGTTTTGAGCAATTAATTAACTTAACTAAGTTATTAAAACGTTATAGGCACTTGTAAAGTTCTGTTAAACTTGCATAATCGGTTTAATATGGATCGGTTATTGATTAAACATTGATAACTGCTTACTTTCTAATTTAATCATTCGTATAATAGTGTAATTTTATGCAGTTGAAATGTCTTCGGTAATTTGTTAAATCGGGACCGTTACTCTTGAAGATAACTGAAGGCCATTACTTCCGCAGACCTCAATTTATCATAAATGCAATAACAAACGTAATCGTACGTAATAAACACGTTGCAACGGTACAATAATAGACATTACATTGAACATTCTGATGCGTTCTCTAAAATAACCTGTGACAAAATTAACAGTGCCTTTTAGTAACGTTATCACCTTCACAACTATAATAAGTTCCACAAATAACATGGAGTATGCACGTCAGGACAGAAATACTATACGCATTTTAACGCGGTATTACAAAACGGGTGCACGAAATAGGGCACTCGGGGCCCACGAAAGAGTAGCGTGGATACGTCACAAGCACTCACCGACCGACGATGCGTGTCTCCGTGATGGACAGTAAAAAATTACCTGAAAATGAAAACGTACAAGGTTAAACAAAATAAACCACGAAAACAAGAGGTTGTAGCCTAGATACGCGAAGCTTAATTTACAGTTTTAATTAGACCGTGTTAACTAACCCTGATAATAGGACATCTATTTAAAAATGACCCATTTTACGTTGCGACCTAAATTCGCAACAGTGCAGTATTTTTTTACACTAACCCATTAAAAAAATGTTACTCAACACGAGCTGTCAAAACACAAAGTAGCGAGTATTATTTGTCGTGTCAGTACCGATGGACATTGAAACATGAAATTTCTCTTGCTTGTTACAGTTTATTAAAAAAACACTAGAGTCCATTTGATAATAGAGTTAGACAACCCAACAAAAATAACGATTTAAGTAGGATTATTTATGCTGTAGGTGCAATACTGACATTTAAAAATGTATGCCCTAGATTTTTTTACCAAAACTTTTAGCAAGTTATATCATCTCACATAACGCTGCGACACTTTCGTTGTAAGTCATTAATATTAGTTATAAAATAATATTTTATCAAAGTCACTTGTCTAGTTGTGTGCAGTCAGGTCCACAGCATTCCAATGGTTGGTTTACACCATGTTCTAATGAAGTCTATTAATAACCCGTCTATTTCTGAGTGACCCATTATTTGACCAGCTCATCTACGTCATACACTGAGATTCCAAGAAAACCATAAAAATATTACATAATAATAAGATTAAATTAAACGTCGCGTAACAAACGGCGGGAATATAACCTCAAGAGAGTTGTGCAAGCCAGCCGTTAACGTGAAAGCTTTTAATACTTCAAACGACACATTAGCAAAGCGTTTCCCGAAGGACATCTTTATAAACATATTTTTTATCGTCCGACCTTTTCCCGACCTTAGTTAATATTTCGACTGATGTCAGAGCACTAAAAGCGTATTCCATTACAATTGGAATCGAGAGGAATGACCTTAACTCAATAAACAATTGTAAATATTACACTTTTATTGCGCTTCCTAGACAGTTCACGGTTACTGTTTAAAAATTGGTAGATCGGACATTGCCAAGTTCCTGTGGATTGAGACATATGGCGCTCACGACAGGTGGCGTCAGCCATGTGGGCACCGCGCGAAGGGCTCTGATGACGAACGAGCTGAAGACCCTATTAATAATAGAAAGGGACGGCGTTACACGCTTGCCTTACGTTGGAACAGTCACGTAGTTGTATTGATACTTTAAATAATCCGTTAGACACCAGCGACCGAGACTTGTTTATGGGACAGCCGGGAGATTAACATTGACAGTATTGTTTGTGTAAGCTATGGGTACTGATTGGTGATTCATTTCATTCCAGGTGTCGAGAGACGACTACGAGATTGACTACAACCAGAGCCCGAGAGGGTCTCCTTTGAAGGATACGTCCAACATCCAGGATGAGCCTGGCTACTGCATCAGCCGTCACAACCCGAACAAGACCTTCCGCCGTGAATCTGTCATAGCTTCATGGAAGAGTCTGAAGAAGGAGAGGGAGCAGGCTTTAGGGAAGCGGTTCATCTATGTGGACGCTGACAGTTACCAGGATTATTACGGCAGGAACAAGGTCAAGCGTTGCAAGAGTGACAGGGCCCCTGTCGCACCAAACAAGGTGCCAAAGAAGGTCAAGCGCACATACTCTGTTCTGTACAGGTATGATCCATCTGAAGAGAAAGTAGTGAAGGAGTACAAGTACCAGCTTCCTAAGGAGAATGAGCCTATTAACCACCCAGTAATGCAGAAATCCTACTCCGAACCCTTCTTGAGGTCGGAAGCTTCACCTAAGAAGAAGGTCAAGAGGTCTTTCACAACACTGTTGAACATCAAGACAAAGTTTTTAAACATTTTCACCTCGAAGAGTTAAATTGTTGTAGGGATTTAACTTGGTTTAATTGCTCAATTCAATGCATTTTATATGATTGGCGTATTACTTCGCATACGAGGTCGTAACCGCCATGATTCTAGTCGAAATTTTGCCTATCAGGTTCAATGCCGGAACCATCTATTTTGATATTGTCTGGTAAAAGTATAAACAAAATTGTAATGGAATAGATCAATCAACGTTTTTGTTGCTATTCCAAATTGAAACAGGCAAAGATTGGATATATTATCAGATCGTAATTTGTAAGCTTTATTAAAAGATTTATTTTTGAAGTGCCAAATGTATTCATAAAATACTAAGTTTAGTATATAATTTGTGATATTTTTCGTGTGTTGTGATATTTTTATATTTTTGAAGGATCGTTGTGGTATGGTCAACATACTGCAACGGATGCTTGAATTAACAGTAAAAATCTGATCAATTAGAAATAATGTTCTAAATTGCATGTAATTCTTTATATTAGCCTCTAATATATTGTTATTACCAATCTTAGAAGTTAAAATATATACTGTTTACAACTCATTTATTATATTTTTCATAAATATAAATAAAATGTTGTCTGTAACATAAATAATGTAACTGCTATATAAATGTAATTCTTTATATTCAGCAATAAATATCAATGTAATTACATAAATATTCACATTGTTATCTTTTAAGAAAATTGCTTTGTATAATAATAATTATATATTAATATGCCAAAGTGATTGTAATCTTGCAGTTACAAGTTTTAAAGTTGCAATATAATTCATTATATTTTAATGTAATTTTAAATATAAACGCAGTTCATTAATGTAACTTTTATAAATTATAACACTCATAAAATAACAATTCATTATATTTAATAATATAAATATAAATGTAATTGTAAAATTATAAAACTTGATATTTTAATACACAAATAATCTAATTTACATTTAATTAATGGTTTCATTCCTATCGTGTAAGAAGCTTTACTTATTTTAATTATAAGTATTTTATATATAAGTTATTTTAGTATAATAATAGGACTATGTGTCTTATTGTTAAAATTATAAACATATCATTAAATTAGGAGGCGTAATGAATTTGTAATGAATGTGATGGTATAAATGGTATTGTTATGTAAAAATTATGAAAGTATTATTAATTTAGAATTAATAATTAACTATCAATTTATATTATTATCTAATAAATATTTTGTATAATGCATTTATAGATATTTTATTTATTTTACACTTAAAATAACAAATAATATACAATTTAATATTTGGTACAAAGTATGGGAAATATGTAGCAAGTGAAGGATAGAAATTTCAAAGTTTTCAGGATTGTAAACAAAACTTCATGCTCTATACCCTGTGGTGATTCCGTAAGGGCAACCCGGGTCACGGTCACAGGCAGTGAAGGAACACCGCGGTGGTTTTAGCCGGTAAGAGTCCGGCACGCCCCCTCGTCGTCCCCACGACGCGGGAAGTCCATGAGGATTTCCATCGCGATAGGAAAAAAAAAAAAAAAAAAAAAAAAATGCTCTATACCCGCATAAAGTATTTTACATAGTGATCGAATTTTGAAGGTTTGATTTTGTTACTTATGTATCACATATATGCGGGAGATTCGATTGCTAAAACTAGGGCAAAATGCAAACAATGAATAAGAAAATAAATCTGTACTGATAGTATTTAGCTTTCAGACATATTTATTGATAAACTTTATTGTACCTAATACAAAACAGAGCATCATTGAAATTCTTTAGTAAACATTAATACCAAATACAACTTTACTAACAATTTCAATACGATTACAAATTTAATCATAAGATTTCAAAGAATTCAAGCTTTACTTAGATAGTTTGTAAAAGAGTTTAAGCAGTAACATGTAGAATTTACACAAGTCAAGACAAACGAACTGACAATTCCATACCCAATGAAAATTAAGTTAGGAATATAATCAAGTTATCTTATTAACAGATACAATATACATCAATGAATAATCCTAAAATCCAATTTGTTAGTCATAAAAATTAGCATTCTGGGCTAAATTGGGTACTGAGGGTATAAATTCAAATTTAGTGGCTAAGCTGGTAGGATACAGGCTAAACGAATTCAAAATTATACCAAAATATAGACTGTGGATCACTGATTAAGTAATAATTATTGTTAATACATTTATTTATTACAGTCATCGTAACTACACTGGTAAATGTCAAAACAAATAGTCTTTAGGTTGGTTTTCCAACAATTTTATAAAAACGAAACATTAAAAGCTGCGTTTAGGGAGAGTGAAAAAAGAAATTCAAATTGGGTGTTTAGTTTATTATTACATTCTTACAGTAATTCCAGGGTGGCTCCCCGTCCGACCAGAAACAGACCCGAGCGTACGGCGCGTCGCGTTCCGCGCGCGCCTCAAAGAGCCATCAGACCACCACAGATGGGGCCCAATAGGGCCGATGCCGATTCGGAGTCGCGGAGAACCTAACGGGTAACCGGGGCTCCGGCTCGACGTGCAGGAGAAGGAACGGGGTGGTTTTTAGTCAGTAGGAGTCTGACACTCCCTTCCGCCTCACCCAGGCGGGAGCAGTCATTCGATGATTTTCCCCCCTTAAAAAAAAAAAAAAAAAAACAGTAATTCCAGTCTCGTTTTGGAATTGGTATATTGTTACTTAGGTAATGGAACATTTAAGTCCATATATTATATGCTGGTGTATGTTCTTCTTGTTCAATTAGACCGTTGTTTGCTTCTTGCTCCTACCGTCTTCTCTGTATCACCTAAAGGTCAGACTGGGAGAAAATGGCTGCGGTTAAGTTCACCTGCTTGTACATTTTGTGCATGAAGCTAAAATAAATAAATAAATAAATTTTAAAAACCACAAGTCTCCTTCAAATTCTTGATTTTTTAACTCTCAGAAATCAGTTACAAATTAACTAATTCTTTCTTCGATTGACTTATTGTTATCTATACTTATAATAAATCTGTAGAGAGGTCAATTCTGTACATACAATATATTTAAAAAATAACTATCAAGGGGTGGTTAGGGATCGCTACTGATGCCAAAAATGTAATCAGTAAAATTTTTGTCTGTCTGTCTGTCTGTCTGTATGTTCGTTATGGAAACAAAAACTACTCGATGGATTTTAACGAAATTTGGCACAATTATTCTTCATACTCTTGGGCAGGTTATAGTATACTTTTTATTACGCTACGATCAAAAGGAGCAGAGCAGTGAAGGGAAATATTGGGAAAACGGGAGAAGTTACTCCATTTTTTAAGCTTCCGTCGCGTGTGCAGGCTTATAGGTTAAAGCTGCATAGAAATCATATATGACGGAAATATTCTCCTTAAAATTATATAAAAAATATTCCTCGACAGCATATGTCTATCTTTTATGGTTGACTCACAATAACACGTGAAACTCCCGATAGCTTAGCAATTCGGTGATTTCTGATTGTATTTGTCTACTCTAACGTTTACAATACTCATTCATAGACATTACGCTGTAACTGAAAGGCCAATGGTTGAAATTAGCTTGATTCGATGTTATAAATGAAAATATGTGAGTTTATGTGTATGTTTGTTACTCAGTCATATTAAAACGACTGAAGGGACCGGAATGAAATTCGGAACAGAGGTAGATTATGGTCTGAAGTGATACATAGGCATTTTACCCCTGAGATCGCGGGCGAAGCCGCTGGCAGAAGCTAGTATTACATATAATAATAATTAAAATGTTTATTCTTTATTTCATTTGTTAATCTCTAATACGACTTCAATAATCCTGTCTCATACTATGTAAACAAACGGTTGACTAAGCATAAAATAAAATCTTTATATGTTTACAAGACAATTAATTAAACATTCATTAACTTGTCTGACAGTGAAGCTATTAATGTTTTAGTTCTAATCTTGAGAATCAATTTGACACAAAGATCAGACTGGCAGTAACCTGTAAACTTACTTTAAGATCGATTCCTGGATCTGACAAAGAGCTATTTGGATATATTTTTGTGTGTGTGTGTGTGTGGTTTTTGGTAAAAAATGTTATCACTTATAGCACGAAGTTTGGTAACGAGTTCAGTGGATGGCAATAGGCCTAACTCGTTCTACATAGGATTTTTTTTAATGGTGAAAATCATCGAATGTCTTCTCCCGCCTGGCGGGAAAGTGTGTCAGTTTTTTACTGACTAAAAACCAACCCGTTCCTACTACTGCACTTCGAGCCGGAGTCCCGGTAACCCGTTAAGTTCTCCGCGGCTCTGTATCGGCATCAGCCCTGTTGGGCCCCATCCGTGATGGTCGCGCTGAACGCGACGCGCCGTACGCTCGGGTCTACATAAGACTAGGACTCATAACATCCTAGGTAACTAGTATAGAGTGGATTTATTACTTTTAATATTTTCACGTCTACCGACTTAACTCGTCGAGTACCGTATTTATAGACCAGCGGTGACCGCTTGGTGTTTGACAGTTTAAAAGACCGAATGTCGAATTACTTTTACAAACCAGTTTGAGGTAAAATAGTAACCTAGCGACTCTGTTCAGGTAATTGGCCGATTTGATTGGCTGTCGATAATAATCAGAGGTAATCGTAATCACATCCTAATTATGCGATTAATATTACTTAGTTAAATATACAACATAATGTTGACGGAAGCGAATGTGATTATCACACCTGTTTTTCCTTAAAGGATAAAATGGATGTGAAAATCCGTTGCTCATCTCTAACCAATATTTATGCCAGTTGCATTAATTCAAATCAAATAATACGTTAGAATCATTGGCTAATACTGTTATTCCATAATTAAAAAACAAAAGAAAGAAAATATTTATGTTCTATTAAGATACTTTCCATTTGTTTAACCATATAATAACAATAGAACACAAGCCAAGACTTAAAATAAAAACAATTGACCTAGAAACCAAAAAAAGGTCCAAAAAATCCATGTTAATAACTCGGTCAGGTGCAAACTGGTGCCTGGTGCCTTTGGGAACACAGTCCCACTTCTGGTGGGAAATGACAATGACCAAATTTGTATGGAGCGTGGTGCCTTTTCGTTTTTTCGCGGCAGTTGATCAGATGTGGATAAACTGATGCAGAATAATATTACAAACAAAAAAATGTATGGGGTCTTATATCAAAAACACAGTCCGAACCGAGTTAAATCAGTTCAAAGATGTGAAAATAGTGCTTTAGAATTCCTGCGATTTTGTTGATGGTGACCGTACACAAGAAATAGTTTGTAATCAATGTTTATAGACGATATCAAGGAATATAATAAAGCTTATTGTGGACGTTTTTACTTTTTTTTGTTTGTTATATTTGATTTTTTTTTTTTTTTGGTTATAAGGCCACAGAATCAGAACAGAGTGAACCATTAACTGACCACTGCTGAAGAAAAAAAAATATTTCGTTTGATTGGCTAGCGTGTTCAATTTACATGTATACAGTTTATGACCTATGACAGATTTTCATGATCAATTTCCTCTCAGTCAAAAACCCGCAAAATACTTAACTGAGCCCTATCATGAAACGCTATGTTTGTCAGCTGCGGCGTCGGTAGCGGATTGAGTGGTAACAGTCGTCAAAACACGAAAAATAATTTTTCTGTCTATTTCTCCCGACTTACCCACTTCCGATTAGTGACTAATCTAACTACAGTTAATGCTTTAACCTACATATATCTAGCATAAGATTCTGTACAAAGATATAGTCATTCAGTCATAAAGTGATGCATTTCGCATTATATAAAAAAATTATGCGCTCATCTGACGTAGGTATATTCCATCACTTTACAAAGTCGACGGTTTGCTTTCTTCAAAAGATTATGCT